GTATTTTGTTTCAGATTTTTGCATCTCTGGTCATCAAGAGTATTGGCCTGTAGTTATGCAGGATGTTTGCTTGTCTGTTTGTCTGCAGTGTCCTTAGTTTGGGTATCAGGACAATGCTGGCCTCCTAGAATGTATTTGGAATAATTCTCTCCTTTTCTATTTTTTAAAATAACTCAGAGAAGCTTTAGTATGAGTTCATTTGTAACTATTTAGTGAATTCAGCTGTGAAGCCATCCGATCACAGGCTTTTCTTTGATGGGGGCTTTTTATTAGTGACTCAACCTCATTAGTTATCAGTCTGTTCAGATTTCTATCTCTATGAATCAGTCTTCATAAAGTGTATGTATCTAAGAAACCTGTCCATTTCTTGTAGGTTATCAATTTTTTGGCATATAGTTTTTCATAATAATCTCTAGTGATCATGAGTATTTCTGTGGTTTTCAGTTCTAACATCTCTATTCTCATCTCTGGTTTTACTGAGTCTTTTCCCTAATTTTCTTTGACTCTAGATATGAGTATGTCTATATGGTTGCCTTTGTGAACAATCAGCTATTTGTTTCTTGATTTTTCTTTTTTGTATAGTGTCTTATTCTCCATTTCACTGATTTCTGACCTGATCTTTACAATTTCTTTCCATTAATTTCAGGATGGTTTGTCCTTGTTTTTAAAGCTCCTTCAGATGTAGCAATGGGTTGTTTATTTGAGATAATTTTACTTTTATAATACGGTAATACATTTCACCCTTAGTACTGTTCTTTGCTATATCCCATAGGTGTTTCCATATTGCTTCTCCATCTTCCTTTCTTATTTCTTCTTCAATCCATCAGTTGTTCAAAAGTAAGCTGTCTGTTTCCACATACTTGTATCATTTCCAAAGCTTTTCGTGCTACTGAATTCTAGTTTAATCACACCGTGGTCTGAGGAGGTGCTCCATGGGGTTTTGGTGATTTTAATTTGCTGAGAATTGCTTTGTGACCTATCATCCGATCAGTCCTGAAGAATGATCCATGTGCTGACAAGAAAAATGTTTATTCTGCAGCTGATGGATGAAGTGTCATTGAGGTCAGTTTAGTCTAGGTTCAACTTAGCTCCATTCTTTCTGTGTTCACTTTTGTCTGGATGCTCTGCCCACTGCTGAAAGTGACTGTTCAAGTCTCCAAGTTGATAACATTCAGATTCTGTCTCTCCCTTAGGTCTATTCGTATTTGCTTTATATATTTGGGCCTGCTGACATGGGAACAGAGATATATTTAGAATCATTATTTCTTCTTGCCGAATCAACTCCTTTTTTGTACCGGGGATCGAACTCAGGACCTTGCACTTGCGAAGGAGGCAGGGGAGGCACTGAGCTAAATCCCCAGCCCCACTCTATGACTTTTAATTGAATAATTTAATCCATTCATGTTCAAGGTGATTATTGATAGGTAAAGTCTTATTGTAGCCTTTTTATAACTTGTTTTCTAGTTTTGTCATAGTTCATTTCACCTTCTCCCTCTAGTACAGTCTTCCCTTATGGTTGGGTGATTTACTCTAGTAGTGTATTTTGATTGCTTGTTTATTATTGTTTCTCTATTTCAGATTTTTTTCTTTTGTGAGTACTTTGAGACTTATTTTTTAAAAAATCACACATGTTTCTCTCATATGTCAAAACTAAACAAAAAAGAGGATCTGCTTTAGGGTCCTCAGGCCACAGGCTTATCCCCAGGGACACAGAGAAGTAGTGCGACAACTCTGGATCCCAAGGGAGACCCAGGGACGGCGGGGCAGGTCCTGGGCAGGTTGTATTAACCCCACTCGCCGACGAGAGAGGCGAGAACCAAGTCCCAGGACTGTGCCAGTCTGAGCGGCCAAGACCTGCAGGCCTGTGGCTGGGGACCACCCCAGCCTGTCCTCCCCTGTAGGACTATCGCCGGGGGCAGAAGTGCTCTCCGTCTATAGCTAAGTGCAAGTCTCGGGGGCCATCTCGGGTTTCACAGCTGAGAACAAGCTTAGCAGGCCTGTCACCTGCGGGACAGGTGCACAGGGCTGTCCGGGTCCCTCCGCGGATGACTTTGGTAGTGAGGCAACAGCGGCATGCACAGAGGGAAGAGCCACTCGCAGGTCTGCGGCCCTCCCACCTGGACGTCCGTCTTCCCTCTCAAGCAGCTCCCTTAGGTCTTCAGCTCAGCCAAGGTTTTACAGCCGTCTTCGTGGACCCCAGAGCTCCTCTGGGGCACTTCTGTTTGCGGGGGCTGCTGAATTATGGGTGCTGTGGGCGACACAGGAAGGGGGCCCTTTCCCCACCAGCGGGCTGACATCACTCTTGTTACTGCTCAAAACACAGTCAATGTTTTCCATTGAACAAGATCGATTGTCATTTAGTCGATCCATAAGCCCATCGATTGATATTTATTGAGTACATATTGTAATATAACAAAAGAATTATTGGGAAGTAGGGGGATTTTAAAACACAGTTCCTCTCCCTGCAGATCTTATGAGCTGGGAGAGAAACACGCACAAAGTGTTAGTTCAATGTAAGGATTTCGCACACACCACAAGGCAGTGGGTATATTACATGCAGATTCTATTTTCTTTTGAAGTGAGTTAAAGAGTCCATCTTGGCACAGATGAAACTTCAGATATTCTCTGATTTAGACTGGAATTGTTTACTAAGGCTAATTATATTAGTATCAAATTCTACCTTTGCCTCTAAAAGAAGCAGAAGAAATAGGCAGGTCTCTTATCAATAAAAATAAAAACGCTTCTGTTTTAACTAATTCTTTACAACTTTTTCTTGTGTCTCATCACAGAAAAAGAAAATGATAGATTATTTTTCAAGAAAGCAGGGTTTCAGATAAACCAGTATGTGTTAAAGTTCATTAGTATAAAATTCCCTTTTAGAATCCTCTTGTTTTCCATTTTATCTGCACATGAAGAAAAAAGTACCAGGCTGGAAAAATATAAATATAAAAGCCCTCCCTGAAAAACTGAGACTCCTGAATTTCAAACCTCACCTGCTTGATGTTAGCACCTTCTTTTATTGTTAGTATTTAAATTAACAGTGCTTTGGTTAAATAATCTGTGGAAAATAGAGATACAATTTAAAATTGGTAAGACAGTGACACTGAGAAAAGACTTGTGTAAACATGCATGTTAACAAATTCTTCTGGTTTTAATAGATAAAAATCTTTTAGATGTTATCTAAATTAGAAATCAGGGTTTTAAAATAGTATATATTATAAAATATTGGGTAATGGAGATAAATTTAAACTGCTTTTTATTTAAACAAGTACTTTCTACATAAAACACATATATATTCTGATCTAAAATGGAAGTATATAAAACAAAAATTACTCTGAGATTTATTGCATAGTGCTTGATAGTCACATTGATGCTTTTCTGTATAACATTCAAGAAAGAATTTTTGGCCGAGGATTTAGCTCAGCGGTTTGGTGGCCTGTCTTGCAAGCGCAAGGACCCGAGTTCAATCCCTGGTACCAAAAAAAAAAAAAGAATTTTTAATGAAGTTGTTTGCATATAAGCTCGGGGACTCCTGGGAATGTAATTACCTGATTTGTTTTGAGTCAGACTGTCTGCAGTTAGTCTCGTGTTTTAATAAGGTCTACAAGGATTAAAGCCAGTCAACATATGAATTATGAAACCTCTAGTTAATCTGAACAGAAGGGGAAAAAAAACCTACTCGTGGGAAATCAGAGTCTCCGTACAAAACTGAAATACCCTTCATAAGTAAGGCAAACATTAAGTTTGAAAATGAGGAATTACAGCATTCAGAAAGGTGGTGCCAGCATGGACTCACTGTTCCACATGTGAGCCTTTTCAACAGGAACAGAAAAGTATTAATGTATGATAGCTGATAAAATGGAGAAAATATTATCTTTGACAAATACCACACATAGTAAAAACTGTGATCCTTAACAAAGCTGCTTCAAAAAATAAAATAAAGAGTCAAGACATGTCATGTAAAGTTACAAGATCCCAATGATAAATGGAACTGTATTGTTTGCTTTAAATGTACCAATAAACTTAATGGGGGGGATAGTTCCCATTTTTTTCTAAGAAATTCCCTATATGTACTGGATGATGTTTTCCTGCCACTTGTGATTATGTCTGTGAACCACCTGGTTTTTAACATTATAAACTGTGACTTATATCCAGACTTATTCTTCTGGCATCAAGTTCTGAAGATGTTTTTATTTTTAAAATTTGATTCAGTACCCAGAAGTGTATAGTCCCAACATAAACTGAAGCTCAAAATAAAGGGGAAAGACAAGAAAGAAAATATTTTGATGGAGAAGGCAAACTGAACAGTTTCTTCAGAGAAATTAGCCCACCTGATTTAGAGAGAGCTTACCCGGGAACAGAAGCTCACCATGCACCCTGATAAAACATCTACTATAAAAAGGTGGCTGAAAGGTGACTTCTATGGAGTCCACACAAAGTAATACTACTGTGGTGTAGTATTAACATTTTCCAACATGTGGTCCGAGGGAAGGGGCCCTGTTTATCTGTCACATCATTGAAGACTGGCAGGGGAATCGGTTTTGATAAAACAATTAAATTATCTCAAATCCACCCAACTTCCTTCCCTGTGGTTCTTCCATTTCCTACTGCTCTGCCCACATTACTGTCCCTTTTGAGGTGAGAACAGGATGACCTGCTCATGGATACCTCCTGTCTGCAGTTGTGCTTCTCAGTGTGACAGGAAATCCATTCTGCTTGGGTGACTCCTCCAGGAGACGGAGGATTTCTGAGACCAGGGCCGAGGATTTCCCAGATCCAGGGAAGGCCCAGGGATGCAGGCAGCTGTGGCTGTCTGTGCCAGACTGGAAATCACTGTCTATACTGCTGTATTTGCCTTGGATTCAGAACCCAATCCCATTAGAGCAGACCACAGATAACTACTATAACATATTAACATGTAAAAATTATAGAAAATATCTAAAATCATGGCAGCAGGATGGCTCTAAAAACTATTCTAAGCCAGGCATGACAGTACCCACCTGTAATGTCAGCACTCGGGAGGCTGAAGCAGGAAGATCACTGTGAGTTCAAGGCCAGCCTGAGTTCAAGGAGACTGGAATATGTAAGACCTTGTTGAAACAAAACAAAACAAAACAAACTATTCTAAACTTCCCAAATACAAACTTCTTGGACTGAAATGCTTTTCATTTGGTTAAACAAAGGCCCTTGGAGATGTAACACCATAAGCAAGAGTAGCCTTTGATTTTAGATCATTTAGTCTTAGATCTAAAATCTAAAGAACGTTTTAAAAATGGAATCAGGGATTTCATTTAGTTTTCACTTTGGTGTTTCAGGAATTATATATTGTTTTACATTCTATCAGATTAATCACGTAGGATGGAAAACTACGTCTAAACTCTAAATTAATAGTAAAAATGTGAATTCTGGGGCCATGATATACTTAACAAAGGGTTAAAAGATACATAAAGTACAGGGTTTATCTTGCTGTGCACAGTGTAATCAGTAAAAAGCACCTGACTGTTTTCCTAGAATGAATGACAACCGATGAAGGCAGCTTTTGTATTTTACCCCCAATCAAACAATGCATCAAGAGCTCTTTCGATGTCTTATCTTTAATGAACTATGTTTAACATTTTACAGATCTTCAGACTGTTATAGTTTTCAGCAGTAAATACAGAAATAGTGGCAATAACTACACTAAAATGAGATTTTTCCAAAGAAAGAATACAAAGGATAGAAACACTTGGCAAGAAAAGGGCAAAATGTAAACTCCAGATCTCAAATGGAAATTAATACAGTCAAATTTCTTTATGATGTCAGTGCATGGAGAAATGGGTGACTCATACTTTATAAGTGATGTATAACTCTGAGATTCACCTTTCTGGGAAGTTTTGTGGGGCATTATGTGACCCACAGATCTATAAAAGCCCATACTATGTATTGATACGAGAGGACTCTAACCCATGGAAAGAGATCTGAAAGTCATTGCCAAAGAAAAGAAGTTCTTTTATTCTTTAACATTTGTGATCTTCATGGTATACTGTGCATTATAAAAGGGCATCATCCCCATACAACTGCATAAAGTCATAAAAATTGATTTTATAAAGTCTCAAGATCATATGTATTCAAAAATACATATAGCTGTGTTTCAGTAAATGAATCCATAAGTTAATTGAGTGATATTTTGCCTATAAGATATATCCAGGGTATGTACAAAGGATCCACAAATGTTAACAATTTGTTACCAAAATTATCTAGATTTAAACTTGCAGAAAAACTGGTGGTTTTCAATTTAAAAATTTAACAAAGCAGTGAATATCATTGGTTTATTATCATTGGGTTAAGACAAAGTAGATGGCTTCAGCTTTTTGTTAAGCAGGAAACTTGTGAGCTGCTCACAAATGAGAAGTCACACTCTTTTGATCATTAGAAAAGTTAAATTGCCTAAAATTGCCAATCTCAAACAGCATGTGCAGTGACAAAGGCGGGGGACGAAGACAAAAGAGAGGAATAATAAAAGTCAGGGGAGAAATAATAAGCTTCTTTTTTCTGACACCAAACAAGAAGTTCTAGAAAAGCCCTTGGAGCATTATCATCTCTTCCCCTTGCACAAGAATGAGCAAGTAAGCTATACATCTGGAAGGTGCACACATGCCAGTATGTGTATTTCATTTCCAAGCTGAGAGATGAAACATTTTTAAAGGTGAAAATATACACTTAAAATATTGAGGAGATACAACATTCTGCTATATGCTTTCTAACCTCATTCCAATTTATCAATATGTGCTGAATTTACAAAAAAGATTAAACACAAAAAGAACGATTACTTACATGCAAAATTCTTTGTTCCAACATGAAACACTAGGTCCATATTTTTCAATAAAAACTGCACATCTGTTTAATTTGACGGAGAGAAAATGTACACTTAAAAAAGATGTTACTGTATCCTTCTAATAAAGCAAATCTGTATCAAAGGCACTTCCGTAGAGCACTTTTTAACTCCTTAACCTTTTCCAAACCTTTATTCCTGCTGTTTTTAATATCTTTCTGTATAAGACCAACAAAAAGCCTCCTCTAAATGTAAACCTTAACACTACTTAAAAAGAAAAAAAAAAAAAAAAAGCAAGTCCGTGTTGACCCAAAATGTTTATCTCTTCTGCAGGTTAGGGTAATCGTAGCAAATTATGCAAATGCCTGTCTTGAAATTCTTTGGGTTAATACAAAAAGGTAGGAGATGTTTAGATGTTTCAGAACTGATTACAGGGAAATACTGGTGGAAATCTACTATCTCAAGGGAAAAAGATACTTTCTTCCATTGTACAGCTATCTACAATTTCACTAAAGATATTTACTGTGGCTATTTTGTTTCAACTTGTGTAGGTGGCTTGCGAGTCTATATTGCTCCTACATTGAATAGTAGGGGATGATTTTTTTTTTAAAGCAATTTAGTTTCATTATCTTCCCACCAAGGAAAAGGGAAAGATGTTTCAGATGTGTCTTCATTGAAATTTTTAAGAAAAATGGGGTGAGTAAATTTTAATTAACAAGAGCTTTTATTTTTTAGAACACATGAATGATACTTCAGAGTTGAAGACATAATTAAAAACAAATATCGAATGTGTTCACATTGAGTTCTTTGCTATGATTGAAAAGATTTCGATATACTTCTAAAACCAAGGAGAAAAAACTGCAGAGGCTACAAGCAATATAAGGAAAAATTTATATTTCTCCTGAAATTGAAACTCTTTTCCTCAAAAATGTCTTTTCCTTCAAAAATGTCAACATTTCTAATTAGTAACCCAAAAAACATTTCTGATCCTCAGAAAAATGGCTTTTTGTTTTCTGCTCATTGAGGTGAAACACTTATTTCCTTAATCTTTACATATTTTGTTAACTTTTTGACATTCACAAATGACTCTCATATCATTTTTTAAATCAAGTTTGATGGCCTTTAAGTGACTAAGGTTGGGTTTTTGAAGCAGAGTATGTTAAAACTGTTTTTAACTTACACATATCATAGTTTCATCTTGTTTTGTTTTTTGCCCTGGTAAAAAAAAATTTCATGGATAGCTAAGGTCACTTAATCTTTAAGGGGAGGAAAAAGAAAAGATTAAAAAATAAAAATCCAGTATCAGAGTATTCATTTCTCAAATTACTACATAACAACTTGATACCTTACTTATTCTGTGAAGTCATAGCCAAAAACAACCCAAGACTTGATGTCTCCCCATCTAATGACCAAAAAGCTTCTTGCCCATCGTATCAGCGTAGGGTTTATCTTAGGGTGACACAATACACATGCTATTTATCTCAAAGAAAGTGTTGCTTGGTCTTTAAACTCTAGGAAAACAACAGTCCGACTTTCATCAGGTTGTTTTTAAGTATCGGCAGAGGAGGGCATAACAATAACGTTTCACATTGACGATGCTGGAGAGGAGTTTCATTTCTCAAGGTCCCACGGGGTAGTCGTCGAGGCAGAGGCAGCATTTGGGGGAGCAACTTTGGGGGCGCACGTTCCACTGTCTCACTCGTAGAAGAGTCGGTACCAAATCGGCAAACAGATAACGAACATCTCAACACTATGTTACGTTTTGAAAACTTAAGATACTTTAAAATTCATCACTCAAAAAATAAATGAAAAGAATAGGCCAGAAAAAGCATCTGCCTGAGACATGTCCTGGGACCCTAAGACGGTTCAGTCCCGATTTCTTAGGAAGTTCATACTGCGATTTACAACAAGAAGCAAGAAAACACGGCACAAAAGGCAGGGACACAACCGCGCCGGAGCTAATTGAGGGGAATCAGCGGGCGTTCCTCGCGCTTCTTCCAGATGTTAGTCTTGCTGTCTCTTTTGGCTAGCGGCAGTCTGCCCCTCTTTCTCGTGGGGGAAGTATTGGCCTCAAAATCTTCAACAGTGCTTTTTCTTCCTGGGGACTCTTCCCCGGGGTGCTCCAAGATCACTCCGCTCCCTCCATCCAAGACGTGCCTTAAAGTGGGGTCCTCCGGCGAGCAGACGGTGGTCCCACTCTCGCTGCTGCTCAGGTCTAAGTCTTCTAAGTACAGGATCTTGGGCTGATGCATGCTTTTGATGAACGTTTTCTCCCTCTCGAGCTTCCGGCTTGAGTGATGCTCATTCATGTCGACCCCAGAGTCCAGACTTGTGTCGTTACTCTGGGTTCTCTTGCCCTTTTTCAGGTCTATGAAGGAATGCCTCACCTGCGCGACTGGCTTTCCATCAAGAGACACAAACCAAGCTCTGGGGTGCGGGGAGGGCTTTCCTTTGGACAGCTCGAGGAGGGTCTGTTCCGAGATTCCTTGAAGTTCTGAGGAAAACGGAGTCATCACGACGGCTTCATTCAGTGTCCCGGGAACAGAGACGGATTCCAGTAAGCTGCTGGAATACCGACTCCAATCTGAAGTCTGGGATGGCAAGCTCTGCTGACCTTCCAGTACGATGTCCTCCTCCCTGGCATCTGGGGGCTGGGCGTGAGAATGCCCTGGCATTTTGGGCAACGTCTGAGTGAAGTTCTCTCTGTTCACTGGCTCCATCAGTTGGCCATAGACTAACTGTCCTTTTCTGGGCAGAGTAGCTGACTTTGCAGTGTGTAACTGCTCTGGAGTGGAGAAGAGGTCAGAGGTTTGCAGGATGGCAATGGGCTGGCTGTAGAGATGCATGAGCTGCTCGGGAATCTGGGGACACCCATATCCCTCTTCGCTCCCTGTGAGATACGGCTTCTGCTCTAGAGTGTCCCCTGACGAGGAAGACAGGTTGCTGCCGACGCGCTTAGGTTGTTTGGTCCCCGTATTGGGCTCCAAAGACGGTGTGGGTTTTCTTGAGTAACTACTCTGATTGACTGATAGAAATGAAACATCTTCATTGTAGATTTTAAAATTATCCCGAGTTTTTATCATGGAAACTCTTTCTTCGGCTTCTGCCTTTGATAGCTCCTTCTTTTGAGGGCTGTACGAGGAGTTATGGGCATTGAATAACTGTGACTTGTCCTCAGACGTTAATGCAACTTTGACCGAACTGATGTGATTAATGTGTGTCGTTGAAGTTGTCTGGTCTCTCTTGAGGACTTCAAGTTTAGTGATATTTCTTTCTCTTTTTGGTGGAGTACCACACTTATCCCTTAATAGAAGAGAATACAATGTTATTTAAGAGCTATGACCTAGAAGGCTCAGCTTTGTACGTTGGCCCCACGACATGCATACCGCCTATGCAATGCTACTGTTAGGATACATCGGTTTTCATCTCTAAAAGACTCTATTCAACTCTACAAATAAACTTTGCAATACACAGAATGTACTGAAATGATACTATACTTTGATATTTTTTGTATGTATACACATTGATTAATGTTGTTCTTACCTGCAATAACAAAGGAGAACAGCAAAAAATCCAATGACAATGACTATCGTTCCTCCTAATATGGCTGTAAGAAACACTGTGTGGTAGGCTGTTATGTCCTTGGAATCTTCATTTATACCCGAACCTACAAAGTTCGATATAAACAAAGGAAAAAAAGAGAAAACACTATTCTAAGTCCAATAGCCCTGGATGAGGCAGCTTATGTGTACAGTTTTGTGTTTCCCTCCCAGGGCAGTCTTCGCTGTGGATGGAGCACATCTTCCCTACCCTTCGGGATTAAACAATGGACTCGCTCTGATCCAAATGCACTGTAAAGGAGGTTGCATGGTGTGGCTCTGTCCTCTAGCTAAGGCACTCATGTGTGGGAAAAAGGCACCCCAGAGGGTCACCACCCGCTCACCCTGGGTTCTGGAATGAGAAAATGAGTCGGACAGAACCAAGCCTAACCCACCGTACAGCAGCCAGCTTGAAGCACTCGTCTAACACAAAGAGCTAATCAATGTTTGCTAGGGTCAGCCGCTGAGGCAGCCGTGCTGCCACTCCAGAAAAGGCTTTTTCATTTTTCTTTGTTAATGCATATTGACTACCCAGGATACTGGGCTTCCCTGTGGAATATTCATACATGCATGTAACGTACTTTGACAATCCCACCCCATGTTCCCTTCCCTCATCTTCCCCTCCACCCAATCTCCTTCCACCTCCCTATTAGTATTACAGAAATTACTACGTGGGTGCTGAGATGCTACTACAACAAAAATCTAACATATGTGACACCAGCTTCTGAGTCAGACACCATGAAGTGAGGCTACTCTTTCGGGAGGTACTAAAAACGGTGGCCCAAAATGTCATGGCAAGATATTTGATAAACTGGGAGAAATATTTCTAACTAATTGGACCTTTGTGTGAAAAGGTTTTGAGACAGATTGTTGGGAGACTGTTGGTGTTACTAGTCAGATTTCATTAGCAAAAAGAGAAACATTAAAGATAAAGTCCAAAAGAGTTTGCCACTGTGGGCAGGGATATAAAGAACAGAGAGAATCCAGAATTTCTGGAGCTTGAAAGATTTAAGAGCTGCAATCCCTTCTGCCTGGGTTACACAGCACGGAGACACCATGGTTTCAGACAGACCCAGCCCAGCAAGAGCACAGCGTACCCGCTGTCCTATGAGCTCCTACGTGGGTCGCGTGTGCCCACACACGTGTGCTCTTGTGATCAGCTTCGCTGCAATAAAAGCTGGCCAGTACAGCAGCATGATCAGTGTATGCTACTAAGAGTCTGCATAAAAATGAATGCTATCCGGCCACCAATCTTGAGGTACTCTGCTTTACTATCAGCAAACATTTCATTTTCCTCAGAACAATAGGTAGTACAGAGCAAGTCCACTCGTCACTAACAACGAGACTCGAATGTATATTTGGGATAAAAAGAATGCGACAACTGATTTTCCGTCCATCTCTGTCTCAAGAAAATGTCCACACCTTGCATCCTAACTGCACCGAGGACCCTAGAAGAGACAGGAGTGTCATCAGGTCCTAAGTGCGTCCTCTAAATTTTTCATCATCTAATTGGATAAAAGTAGCGTAATCATGGCAATATTAACAGATCTGGAGAAGCAGCGCGGTGGCTATGCACCTGGACTCTGGAGTTTGGGGAGTGGGTTCATGTCTTCATATCTCAGTTCCTCTACTTGTAAAGCAGCAAAGAAAACATCATACATGACCCACGCGGGCCGCCGGGGATGGTATGAACTAACCATCATGAGGCACTCATAACGGTGCCTGGCCTTAGGGAGCACTTAGAAGTCTTGACAGATGTTGCTGAAAGTTTAAGGCTGTACAACAGGCCCTCTCGCATTGGCCATTTTCACACAGTGGGCCATTACCTCATAGACAAGCCTAGCACTGTGTAATAAAAAATGTCCTTAAGTAAATAAAAAAAAATACTACAGTAACTCAATCCAAGCTGCACAGTCTCTTGCTGGACCAAGTGTTGTGATAAATTCTGATTATGCAAGGATTGACTGAAAAATGCAGGGGATGTTTCAATTTTTCCCAAAAACTCTTCATTGTAGTAAAAGACACACTGCCTAAAATGATGGAACAAATGTGTTCAAAGTGAGAGAGAATATTCTGAGTATTTTGAGGGGAGTCACTGGCAATGTCTTTACTGCAGAAATCTTTAGTGTGAGGAGCCCCCTCCCCCACACACATATACATTGGGGTTAGAAGAGTTCTGTGAGGAATAGAATGGTTTGTTTTTCCCTTTTCAGGGATGATCATATCTGTCACCCCTAAAATTCATGCACGGAAGTCCTAGTCCCCAGTGAGACTGCTGGTCTCGGCCTACAGGAGGTGACATAGGTTCAGTGAAATCATGAGGGCTGAGCCCTCATCAAATAGAAAAGACGTCACTGTAAGAGAGAAGGACTCCACCGCTGGCCTTCTCCACGTGTTCACACAGGAACACGGAACACACAGAGCCCGCTGCAAGAAGAATGCAAGGAGAGGCCTTGTCAGCCCTGATCCGGGACTTCCAGCCTCCCAGCTGGTGGTATTTTGCTACGGAGGTTTAATGGATTGAAAATGCAATGTTTGAAATTTTTGAGAAATTCACTGAGGATTTCCTAGCATTCAAATTATCTTAATTTGAACATAAATACAATAGCCAAGCCCAAGGTTAAAAGTGAGGGAACTAACACTCAGGTGGGTACATACCTATTTCAGGTTCACCCCATTCATTATAAGCAAATCCAGAGCTGCTTGCAAGTTGTCTACACACCTCTAGTAGTGCAGCACTGCTTGGCCAGAATCTGCCTGCAGAATACATGGCTCAAAAGCACCTCTAGACGGTGCCTAATTCATTGAGAATCCCATGGTTCTGTCTGAGTACTGTGGTCCCCACAAAATCTTTCCCAACAGATAAGCTGCAGCAGAACTTCTACCTCTTTTAGAGAATGATTTTGGGCCAGGTGTGGTGGCGCACGCCTGTAATCTCAGCACTTGGGAGGCTGAGGCAGGAGGATCGCTGTGAGTTCGAGACCAGCCTGGGCTACATAGTGAGTTCCAGGTCAGTCTCTACTACATAGTGAGAGCCTGTCTCAAAAAAAAAAAAAAAAGATTTTGGCTTTTGCAATTCATAAAATCATCTTATACAAACTGATCATTTCAGTTATATTTTTAGTGCGAGTATTTTTCTCTAGGAAACTCAAATGCTCCCTAGGTTATTTTTATTAAAAAGGAAATCACTTAGATTTAGTTGAGTTGAAGTATTAATAAATATTAATTATGTTTTTTTCATGAATATTTCATTATTGTTGCAAATCTAAAACAGGATAAGGCAGACAGCTGGCAAGACTGTGTGATATTTTGCATTATAAAGAACAAAGGTAACCACCTTCTGGTTTCTGAATAAATAATCCTGTAAGAATTAACTTCAAACAGAAATAAAAAGAATTATTCTTCTTGATTGAACTGGTCAATGGCTCACATTTCTTCTAATGGAATTCTAAATGCTAGTTTCATTGAAAAAAAACATTTGGTTGCATGGTTAAAAATTTAAAAAGAAAATTGAAATCAAACTGGATTTTAAAAAACTGCTCGGTGGAAAAAAAACTGCTTGGTGAAAACTGAGTCTTCAGAAGAAAAGATAAAGGCAAATGACAGAATAGCACAGAGAAATGTACACGAAATGTCATCCACGTCCTGGATCCCGGCGCATCCTGGGGCTCCCACTGACCAGCATGGACCAGTGAGGGAGCAGCTGTCTCTCAGCTGGGAGCCAAAGCGCGTAGAAAAACTAAAGAATCAACTCTGGCACGTGACTGAAGATGGAAGAATGACAGGGCCTTAACTGTCAATCCCAAATCCTCACTAAAGAGACACTAAAAGTTTTGCTTTGTTTTCACCTAAGTATCCAAACCCACAAAGCTAAAGGACAGTGAGCACACACACACACACACACATGCTGAAAGCACGAAAGTTAATTTGGCATAGCTGGTGGCAGCGAAAGCCAAGAAGCTCCCCCATTTATGCCAGCAGACACTCAAAGGGCCCACAAAGTGGCAGCAGGGACAGTGCAGTCCGTTTAGACGAGAGCCAGCACGAGGCGTTATCTCTACTCACGGAGGTTTAATGGATTGAAAATGCAATGTTTGAAATTTTTGAGAAATTCGTTGACTGAGGATTTCCTAACATTCCAATTATCTTAATAATGCGATGCCATTAAATGTAAATAAATGAAACACTCATTTCTCCTGGAGTATGGGAGGATCGTCCCCAATAGATAGTTCTTGGGTTTTTTGGCCACCTTCTCCCATTCACCTTCTGTTCCAAATGTCGGGTCCATTTTCATTTGGTTTTGTCACCTGCCTTCTCTTCGAAGCAGCCTTCATCAAGAGTCTTCCACCCTCCGGTCCTACAAACCAAGGCATGTGCTCCCCATGCAATGATGATGGGTCAAGCAGCCTCAGGTCGCCAGAGGGATCAGAGAGGATGAAGGGAAGGCAAGAAAACCTGGCAAAGGAGCCAGCTGGCGTGCTCACCAGGCTCTCAGGAGCTGTAGGGGCTCTGGCCTCTTTCCATCCAGTTCTTCAGCCTCGCCTGGGATCCTGGAATCTCCCCATGAATTTTCACCTTTTCAAAATGACCCAAAACTGTTTCTGCTGCTTGTAACCAAAAAACTCTAATTGATCTGGACAGAATTCACATGCATTAAAAGCACACCGTCAGGCTTAGATCTAAAGCGGCCCCCAATGCCTCGGGTGTTTGGAAGGTGACTGCATTGTGGGGCTTACAGCTGACTTGCTGTCAGGAGGTGGGGTATGGTCAGAAGAAGGCGTCTCTGTGGGTGTAGCCTGCAAAGGTCCATCTCCCTTCCTACCCCCTTCCTCGACACTGCTTCCTGGCTGCCCTAAGGTGAGCAGCTTTTCCTCCGCTGTGCCCCTCTGCCACGCTGTTCTACCTTGGCACAGACTAAGGCCTGAAACTGCGAGCCAAAATGAACCTCTCCTCCTTTAAGTTGTGGTGTCGGGTATTGCATCCCAGCAACAAAAAAATGACTGAGACGTGCACTGAGCAATCACTTACGTGAACAAGCTTCATTTTTCACAGATTCATCAGCTGTTATAGCTATGAGGGTCCTTAGAGTTTACGGACCTTAGTGTTTCCCTACACACATTTTTTAAAAAACCGAATAAACAAAATGTAATATATATACACAAGATAGTATGATGCAGCCATAAAGAAAAATGAAATCATGTCATATGCAGGAAAATAGAACCCAAAACCACTATGCGAAGAGAGATAAGTCGGATGCAGAAAGTTAAATATCACATGGCTTGTCTTATCTGAGAAACCTAAAAGAAAGATTGCAGGAAACAATACCTTTTGGGGGACAGGGAAGACAATGGGGCTGATAAGGGAGAGGGTGGGAAAGTGAATGGAAAATGATCAAGATGTCATATGCATGTACGAGTCCCCAAGATGAGCTTCGCTGCTCTGTGTGCAAATACACACTCAGCCCAAAGAAAGCTGAGGTTAAATGCCTTCTCCAGTGTCATACGGCCTGTAAGTGACAACGCCCAGAATAAAACAGAGGCCGGACGATAGAAAATCCAGCACGACATCTGCATTTATTCTGAAAATTATTTTTTCATTGTTAAGGTACCTCTACTTCCCGGAAGGGGGGCTGCTACCCAGTAGCCCAAATATGGGGCGTCGTACGTCCAAATTAAATGATTGTTGTGTTCTTTTACCACTCCTTGGCCAGAATTCACCCAAGCACCTAAAAAGGAAGGTGAATAGAAAAATACTGGTTATAATTACTCACTGAATACTCTGTGAAGAATACATTACAGGACTTTTCCCAAAACTATGAAAACCATAACAATATGTCATAAAGCCAGGAGTGGTGGCTCACACCTATAATCCCAGCACTCGGGAGGCTGAGGCAGGAGGATCACTGTGAGTTCGAGACCAGCCTGGGCTACATAGTGAGTTCCAGGTGAGTCTCAACTACATAGTGAGACCCTGTCTCAAAAAACCAAAACAATATGTCATAGAATAACATATGCTATTACACCATTAGTTATAGTATAGTGCATAATATACAACATAGAACAATTGGAATGATTATGACCAGAGGAAATAAAATCATTATAAATGACCTAAGGATGTGACATGCTTAGAAAAATCATTTCTGTCTTATTCATGTTTAAATTGTATACACTAGGGCCGGGGATTTATCTCCGTAGTTCTGGTGCCTGCCTCACAAGCACAAGGACTCAAGTTTGATCCCTCGTACCAAAAAAATTTTTTTAAAAAATTGTGTACACTGAAACATCTCCTGAGGATGTGAACAGTGAAATTCTAGTTCACCTTAGGTGGTTATCACCTGTTCTGGAATTTTAATTCAATACCTACAGTGTTTACTTTTATAGCATTATTAGCTTATTAAACGTTGTTTTTATTCTAGTGCTATTAGTGTAGTTTATTAGAATTAAGCTTTTCTAAACTACAAAAACCACTATCTAGTACAATAAAATCTTGCCCCTTACAGAGAAAATAATTCAGTAAAACCCATGTACTTTATGAAGTTTTATAAGCAAATTACAACAGCTATTTATAAGTTTGGTGTATATTTGTATTTTGGCTTATTGTTGTAATAAATTGTTTACAACATGTAAAACAGTGGCTTTTATTTTTATTTGACACATTTGTATATATTTTGGGGTAAAATACAATTTGACACGCATATGCAAGATGTAATGATTAAGTCAGAGCAATCTGCATTTCCGTCTCCTCAAACATTCATCATTTCCATACACTAGGAATCTTGAATCCCCTTTCCACTTATTTCGGAATCTTTTATATATGTGGACAATAGTTACCCTAATGACTACGGTGCTACACAACACCAGAACTTTGCTGCCAAGTGTTTTACTACTTCCGGTCTCTTAAACACGTGACCTTTCTATTTTCCTGAAATTAGTCTGTATTACTTAATTGCTTTAACCAAGCTTTTAGCTAAGGTCATACTGCCTATCAAAACAAAAACTCTGAAGGAGTAGATTTTTTTTAAATCTTTCTGCCTCAAAATGTCGGCAGTATAAAAAATGCAAGAGAATGTGAGTAAAAAGCACTATTTTTTTGACGTAACGTATGGGTGTCATATCTGCCCATAATTGTTTTATATTAACCCAAATCAGGTCCATTTTGGTTACTAACAAAATGTGCAAAGTCGTCCCTGGAAAGCTTGAGCTTTATCAAATTCTATGATGGAATCTTCAACTACTCAAAGGTGTCTGAGGAGCCAACACACCCGTGTTCATATCGAAGGTCCAAGCAGGGACTCGATCCCCGGCTCTCAGGTCATTTGTGCGCAGAAGAGGAAGAGACACTTGCACAGAACCATCCACTTTTAATTCTTTTCCTCCAGAATATATTTTCACACATATTGCAGCGAGAGGAGTCAATTCAATGTTTTCAAAACCTAAAAGAGAGGACAATACATTAAAATTATGTGGAAACAAACTATAATTACATAAAAATGATTTTGGGTCTATTTTCACCCACTGTTATCCATTTTAATGTCAAATAGTTACTGGCTTCCCATTAAAGATTTTTCCAAAGTAATCTCAAAATATGTCATAAATAAAAATCATCCCATGTAACATTGAAAAATCAGTCTAAGCCTGAGTTATCTAATTCTCACACAGTCGGTTAATGATTAAGGCCCCTGGAATCCAATTAAATGTTTTTTAAAATTTAAAAACCAACGGCCAAAAAACACATCTCACTGCTATTCCCAAGTAAAGGCTCCACTATCCCACCTTGTCCATGAAGATATGGACCTGAAACACCGACACTGTCTCCCACAACCAATGGACTCAGCTGCACTCCATATGGAAAAGTTTTATTAAAAGTGGAAATTTTGGCGCTGGAGATTTAGCTCAGTGGTGCTACCACCCACATCACAAGCACAAAAGCACAAGGTCCCAAGTTCAATCCCCAGTCCCCCCCGCAAAAAAAAGAAGATAGGTTTGGCAATTTGGCAGTTAAGCATAACACAGAACCATAATGCAATATCATTATCTGTTTAAAATTATGTCTTGATGTACACTTAGTAATAATATAATTGGAAGAATTAACATAAACTGAGTTTTCAAATACTGATACTACGTTATACTTCAAGCCTGAAAAGCAGAGCAAAATAGGATAATAGAATTGGTTGTACTGATATTCCTAAGGTTTTAAACACTAGATTACATAATTTGTTCTATGCTTTCTTAAATATCTGGAGTTACACTCAGATTTCTGTTTCTCTGAAGAAAAAAAGTAGAAAGTGCCTCTCTTTTGTTTCAAAATATTAGTAATAATATACACCCTAACATTTAAAATGAATGAAAACATAGCTATAATATTTAAATGATGGTATTGATTTCTATGCATTGTTTGATAATTTTAAATTTTCAAAGTAAATTGCTAACACATTAGAAACACAGAAAGTATATTTTCCACATTATTATTTGCATTGGTCCTAAAGTAATTTTTGAATCTCTGGTTTCAAAGCTATAGCTTTATTTGTTCATCTAACAAATTCTGGGGGGGTACTGGAGATCAAATTCGGGTCCTTGTGCTCGCAAGGCAGGCGGCGGAATCACTGAGCTAAATCCCCGGCCCATTTAACGAATATTTACAAAACTCCTACTGGCCCCACATCCTCATATGGGCTCCAAACACTCAATGAACACATACAAAATCATTTATTCTACTAAGTGTTCTTTTTTTCTGGGCATGGTGGTGCACACCTGTAATCCCAGTACTCTGGGAGGCTGAGGCAGGAGGATGGCAAGTTCAAGCCCAGATTGGGCAATTTAGCAAATCAGAGAGCTCTTAATATCATTATTTGTTAAAAATTATGTCTTGAAATACATGTATTAATAATATAATTGAAATTAAAATATAAAAAGGGCTAGGGATGTAAGACAGTCCTTTCCCACTTCGCTTCCATTTCTGACTGAACATCAGCCCCTGGTCATCTATCCGGGCCGTGGAACCTGGTGGGTTCAATCCAGCGTCCTCTCTGAAGGACATCTCATCTGTGTCTGAACGGGGAGGATCTTTCCAGGCCAAGACTGCAGGTAAGAGCCTTCCAGGTAGAACAACCGAGTACAAGGCCTCCAGCAAGAAAAGCTCGCGCGGGGTCGTGCGGGGACCTGGAGAGCCGCTCTCAGAGCCGCTACGGGCACCCGCCCCGCGTCTTCCGCAACCAGAGTCACAGCTGGCTCGCTGAAATGTTTCATGAGCACGAGCGACCTCGCTGGCAGGGGATGTCTGCAGCAGTCACAGGTGTGTACAGAAGGCAAAGCTCTGTGATCGGAGAGAGGGAGTCACGGGTGGAATCGCCACCCAGGCTAGAGAAGACGACCGGCCGCCTCACTGGAAACCAGTTTGTCCTTGTCGCTCTCATTTCCCCAAATGAAATGTCAAAAATAATTTTTCCTAAATTTATAGATCAAAAAAAGGGAGACAAATGTCCAAAATCGTGACAACTGAGACAATCAAAATTACACGTGCGAGGTGATTTTAAGCAATGGGCTTCCAGTTATGTTGCACTGAGTAATAGAAATGGTAGAACAATGTGGATATGTTCTGAAATAGGTGTAAAATCCCACCATTCCCTTCAATTTTAAATCAGGACAGTTTAAAACTCCCGAATAGCCGGGTGTGGGGCCACACACCAGTAACCCCAGCACTCGAGGCTGAGGCAGGAGGATCGCTGCAAGTCTGAGGCCAGTTTGAACTACATAATGAGACCTTGTCTCAAAAAAACAAAAAATAAAAAAGCTGCTGACTCCAGAAAGCATGTATTTATAATATTTACTGAGAATAGCTAACATATATAAAAAGAAAAATTACAATATCTTATTCCAATCTATATGCTTGATTCTTTTTAATATCTCTACAGTCACTGACCAGGCACATCAGTTTGGTAACCGTGAACAGAAACTCAAAATATGAAAAGACATGTATAAGGGACAGGGATTTAGCTCAGTGGCCTTGCAAATGCAAGGTCCTGAGTTCAATCTCTGGTACAAAAATAAAAAAAGGAAAAGAAAAGACATATATAAATGTCTTTAAAGCCAGTTCCCATTCCTAAATATATTTCTAATTTGCAAAGTTTATAATAACTGTAAGTATTTTATATACTTTGCTTATTTGTTTTAGATCAAATGAAAGGAATTAAATAAATCAAATGAATTAAAATGAAAAGAAATTTTTATTAATTTTGAAATAGGTAATGCAGGCCAAAGACTGAGGTATAATCATTCTTTTTATTAACTTCATGGATTTATGTTTTAAAAGTGACATGTGTTCTCCGAAGAATAAATGAGTATCAAATTTCTAATAACTATCTAATTCCCTTAATAAATTGCATTTGATAAAAGATTTATGTAGTGATGTTTCTTACAAATATGGTTGCATTATGTGAAAACCAGGAAGTACCTGGATTATTGAGAGTGATTCCGGTTGTATACTGAAAATTGTTCACTTTCAGAAACTGCTGCAGCACCGTAAGGTAACCCGTGACGTTGCTAATGTGATGGTTGTCCGGAAGTTTAATTAAAGCTTTTGAAAACTGAACACTTGGTTGAGATTTGGCATCTGCAGAAAGGAAACCTCATTAACAAATACAAAAAAATAAACGTATGTTAAGCATAGCACCATTGGAAAGGACATTCTACTTTAACAAAAACAGATGTAACTATTTCTAAAATACCCTAACAACTTGAATAGTAATTACTTTAAATCCAGAATGGCTAAGAAATTCCCCTTTCTTTAGATTACACAAAGCACGCTTGCAGTAAGGACTGCTTGAGTCTGTTGCCCAGAATCTCTGCACACTTTTTTGGGTTTCACTTTAGGGACCCCACACTGGCCACTCATAAGTTGTGTGGGTCACCTGGGTTTTCATCTATGCAACAGGGGTTGCCTTGGTGGTGGAGGCCAGAATAGGCTGAAACCAGCAAAAGCATCTCATTGTCCTCTTGGCCCAGTTTGCCCCACAGTGGGCTTCTCCCCGGGCACTTAATGAGTTCTGTCTGGACTTGGAGAGGAGGCTTGTTCCCACCCCCATGGGATTTTCCGTGAGCAGGCCTACACCCGGGATAACCCGCCTGTGACCAATTGGAGGCCCTATTTGAAAATCAAGGCGATGTTCAAAGAGTGGGAAAATTTTTAAATGGAGAGAGTGGAAAAACTAGTTTTCCAGTACTGCAAAGTTTAAAGTTGATCCTACTACTTAAAAAAAAAATCTCCTTTTGGCTCCAGTTGTTCAGGACCATATTTTCAGCAACTTGCAAGATGTGTCTTTGATTACAGACAACCACATACCACAGTAGATAGGTTTCTGTGTCAGGTAGCTACTTATACATTCAAAGTTTTCCAAGTGTCAAGTTCTTGATTTATAAATATCACCTCACCTCAGAAATTTTGAATTGACTGTACAGCATTTATCAAATGAGAACTCAGTGATGATATGGATATATTTGTAACCAGTAGATTTTATGTAAAAACTCAAGGATCAACTTTTTCTTTACAGCAAATGATAGAATAATGCAAGATATCAACTGCTAGTTTATTTTTTATGTGTTAATCCAGAAAAATAATACCTAAAAAACAAATGGCTCTTTTTTAAAAAAGCACAACTATAATAGACATTCTTGTTTGGTTATCAGAAGGTATAGTTTGATACCTTTAGCTCACTTTAAGTACTATGTACAACTTACACTTTTAAAGTATTGGAATTAATTACATCACCATACAAAGTTCTTATAAATGAAAGCATGCACTGTATGCAAAATGTCTAGCTGAGTTTCACAACTCAGAGGTTTGTACAACCCTGATGTTTCCAATTTCTCCCAGTCCTTTACCACAACGACAGTCACACACATGCCAGACTCATTTCCACTGCACAAAATGAACACTTTCCTGACCAAACACTGAATCAGAGTTATAGAGTAAAACGTACATTTTCCACAAAAGATCGAACACCATCAGAAACATCCATCCTTTCCTGCTTTCCCTTAGCAACAGGCCGCCTCTTAAGGAAATCGGGGGACGGTAACAGGAAGTGCTCGGACAATTCACGAGTGCTCACGATGTCCTCAGGAGGACCTGTCAGGCCGCCAGCACTGCCCAGACAAACGTGTTCCTCACTGCATGGTCCACTGGCAGAAGCCGGGTAGACACGCTCATACTAAACTCATATATTCCAACAGCTACTCCAATTTACACTGGGGTGTGAAGAGGTGAGCAAGGAAAAAGGATACGATGTCCAAACCAGCCCACAACAATTCTGAAAGTGACACTAACATGGAACTTTGGAGAAGCTGATTTCATTAAGACCCAGAAGCATTAACTGCGCTCCTTCTCACTGGCCCAGAGTTCCGATTTACTTCCCAACCAAAATCCACCAAAATCGCTGGCTCAAAATTCTGCCAAATGCCCTGACATCTCAAGAGCAACTGGGTCTTCAGTCCCCTACTTCTTTCTTTCCAAGTAATCGCATTAAGTTTTCCTGTTTAATGGCTTAAAATAACTTCTAAAATAAAAACAACTTCTACAAACAGGTGTTGCACCATGACTGTAAAAGATCGTCAGCCTGCATCGCCAACTTGATTGGCCTTGGAAATGAGGGAAGCACAGCCCTGGATCTGTGTGGGAGGACATCGGGGCAGGGACTTTGGGGTCTCTGGCTGTTTTCTCTCTCTCTGGCTCTCCCCTATTCTCTGCTTCCTTGCTGTCGCATGTTGACTGGCTTTCCTACGTCACGTGCCTCCACCAAGATGTTTCCACCTGGGAGCCAGCCGACCGCGGACTGAAAGCTCTGAAACCATGAGCCAAACTACACATGCCTCCTTCAAATTGTCTATGTCAGATATTTTGTTCCAGCAAAAGAAACATGTCTATGATGACTCTCTTAGTGGACTCTACCTTGGGAGTTTTCCATCTTCACCGGTCACTGCACCAATACATAACAAAGGAAACAAACAAGCAAATAGCTGTCACTGGTAAAGGCATTGTATAATAAATATGTAGTGATGAGTCACAGAATGCCTTGTTTCTCCTAAGCACTAATTAAGGTGTGCAAGCAGGCAATGTAAGGATCAAATTCTCATCATAATGGTTGGTCAAGTTGAACTGGATTTCACAGCTGGATCAGTACCCGAAGTAGAGTTTTATATCTTTCCTTTAGATATGCAAGTAGGGAAAATCAAGTCTACCTAGCACATACAAAAATTAGTCAGTCTCAGGCCTTTCCCATACAGGCCGAAAGATCACCAAGAAGATAGGAATGGAAACGACTTGCAACTAGAAAGCCTCACAAGTCTGCGTGACATGAATTCTGTCCCTTCTCCTATTTCACTGACCATTAAAGCCCCAGCAAGAGATGGAGTTTAGGAAGGACACACAGAAGCTCTTTCCAATGCTTCCTAAACTTGAATATTCTCATCTGGGAAGCTAAAGTGATAAAAGAGAAAATGCTTCCCAGTACATGAGAAATGTATATTATAGTATTATAGTAAGATAAGTTTTGATTGAGATCAACTTAAAAATCAATGCTAATTATCTCTCATCACTCTAGATCTTTTTCAAGTTATAAGCAATACTGATTCACTCAAACAACGATCACTTTGTTTCCTTACTAGGAAAGAAAGAATGGACTTACCAGCTAATTTTCCAGTAATCAAAACAGTGTCTTCAAATAGCCATATATTTGCTTGGCTTTGCGGGAACAGTGAAAGTGTAACTGATGAATATACTGTGAAATATAGCACAATTAAAATATTTAATGTAGGGAAAAGGCTGGGACAAGACAAGTTCTGTTACAGCAAGTCCTAAAAACTGAAGGAAAAAAAGCAAACTGCTTATTGGAAAGAACAGCTGAAAAAAAAGGAAGAGTAAACATGAAATACGATGGGGGGAAAAAGAACACAATAAATAAAAAGAACATAAATAATGAAGAAATCGCTAGGCATTATTATTTTGGTTTAGCCATGTCTTCTACTCCAAAGAGTAGTTTTTAGCAAGCTCACTAATGATGTTCTATAACTGTACCCCGATCAAGTTACGTGCTTAAATAATTCCCTACGATTTTCTCTATATAATTACTGCTTGTAATTTAGTTCTTAAAAACTAAACTAAAAAGCTTCTCATGGTTCCGTGACTCAGGGTTCCCTGCCCACATAAAGGGAGACGCTGTTCTGCATCGGGTGGATTCTGCCGGGCCACCTCGGAGCAGACGGAGGAGGAGACCTCTGCACACAGCAGTGCCTTAGGCAGCAGAGCAGCATGGACTGAACCCGTCTCACAGGTGGGCGGGTGAAAAAGCCCAGAGAGGGGTGGGTGCAGATCACCTGGAAGATGGCTAAATTATTTCAAGATCGAGTTCAAGAAGCTGGCACAAAAGACAATTGCACGAGCAAGAACAAACCAAATCAACCAATCGTACAAAAGGAGAGTAAATTTTGAGGAGTTACCAGAACACAGACTCTCATTTTGTATCTCTCCTCTGTGACTTATGAGCACACAAGATGAGTCGAGGTAATATGGTGTCCTCAACACTCTTAGAAGATAAAACACCTTTGCCCAGCAATACTTTTAATTTTATTTATTATTTATTTATTCTTGGTACTGGGGACTGAACTCGGGACCTTGCATTTGCGAGGCAGGTGGCCGCACCACGGAGTTAAATCCCTGACCCTACTTTTAATACTCTGAAGTAATTAAAAGATCTTTAAAGGAAGTATGAGAAAAGGGGAGAATATAATAAGTATACAGTGATGGGTGGACATGAAAGGGACAATTCCTTGTTCCTTCTACAGGAAAAGAGAATCACCACATGAAAGTGTCATTTCAATTTCAGGCTCATTAATGGATCTGTTACATGGGAGAGGGGGTGGTGAGGTAGGAGCTCGGACCTCACAGTGATTCCAAGCAGGGATCTATCCCACTTTTGAAAGCTTTTCAGTCACAGGTGGCCAAAAGGGAACGGCCTTGACAGCTATGAAACCTAAGGGGAATCTTGGTGAACCTCGCTAGATCTTACAGTTTAGATTGTTTTTCACATAAACACTTTTTTTTTTTAAACTAAAAAGGGATATCTGTGGTTAAAAAAAAAAAGTTGGGGGCATAGCAAGGAATAAGAACTCAATGAGGGTCATTTCAAAACTGCTGCAGAGGCATTGATTAATGATATTTTAGTGCAACTTTTTGTTGGCTTTTCCTATGAATTTTTTTTCCCAATCAGGAGGCAATTGTAGGGCAGAATAATCTTGCCTTGCCATTTTCATTTAACGATGTCAGTTTCCCTGTCTCCTTGTGGACCTTTCCCGGAATACGAGTAGGGCACACAGTTCCTTCTGTTGCAGTATCCAGACTCACGGCCTCACTGACACGCAGGCTTAGGTTACTCCCACTTTGCTATTTTTACAAAAATAAGGGAACCAACCAAGTGGTGCAGAAATATCTGTCCACTCTGTCTCTTTGTATGTTTGTTTTGAAAACAGTATAGTGGTGTACTACTGAGTTAAACTTGATGATGGGCCGGGGATTTGGCTGAGTGGTTCCACTGCCTGCCTCGCAAGCACAAGGACCCGAGTTTGATCCCTGGTACCAAATAAATAAGTAAATAAATAAAGTTGATGAAGAGTTTGAAGTTCTTAACACATACTTTAAAATAGTTGCCTCGATAATTTTGCAATCTCAGAGCCAATGTGCACTACCCCCACTAATGGATGAGAATGCAGACCCACCTTGCTTTGGCAATACTGAGAATAATCACTGTACAAGAGCTTGCCTAAGGTGAAAAATTTATGAAGTGTCATTTCCTCAGTGTACAGAGCTCAGATTATTAGGAAGATAAAGTATGTTGTCATGCTTACTCACCATTTATATTTCCTTTCTTTGAAAATTTCCTGTTTACCTTATTCCAGTAGGATTTTTAATATGTACGAATTCTTTGCATATCAAAGACATCATCCCTTCTTGTTTCAAATATACTTCCAACCTTGGTTGCTTTTTTTGTAGCAATACCTGCCTCATATTTTAGTTGTGTGGAATGGCAAACTACCTCTAGTGAATCTTTTTGTTAAGAAAAATATTACCAGGTATCTTTCCACATTTATTCCAGAAGGATTAAAATTTTTCCAAAGGGTTTTTGTTGTTGTGGTTGTTGTTGTTGTTGTTGTTGTTTTGTTTTGTTTTTTGATACAGGGTCTCACTATGTAGTTGAGGCTGACCTGGAACTCACTATGTAGCCCAGGCTGGTCTCGAACTCACAACGATCCTCCTGCCTCAGCCTCCTGAGTGCTGGGATTACAGGCGTGCCTGTAAGAACCTACATTAACCGCCTTCCGGGTGAGCATCTCTTTAGAAGGTCACCTTTCCTGCTTCACCTGGTCACCCCTTCATCCCAATCCTTGGGGCACACCAGTCCCCCATGACACCTGCAGACAAGCTTCGTACAGAGCACAGCTCATGCTTACAATTCCTCCAAGCCTCGTCAGAAGGGAAAAAATGCCTTTATAGTGGCAAAGGTCTGCTGTCTGTGACTTTAAAATTCATGCTGAAATCCTAAGCCCCAAGGTGACAGCATTAAGACGTGGGGCCTGTGGATGATAACTAGGTCAAGAGGTCAAAGCTTTCATGAATGGACTTAGTTCCCTTTAAAACAGGCCGAGGGAGATCCTTTACCCCTTCCACGACAGGAAAACGGAGAGGAGGGTCCCCTCTAACCGGGCCCTCCACACACTGAGCCCGGTGACACTCTGACCTTGGACCTTCCAACCTCCAGACTGTGAGAGACAAATTTCGGCTGTTTTTAAATCACCCGACGTTTGGTATTTCATGACAGCAGCCCAGAGAGAGTGAGATGATGTTTCACCCTCCTTCCAGCCTCCTTCCAGCCTCCGTGGGTGCACTGATCTCAGGCATTCTCCTTTCCAGCTGCCAAGAGCAAGGTAACCCTCAAACGGGATCATTTTACACTTAGCAAAAGCAAAACACCGTTTGGACACTTACTGGGCATTCTCCCGGTCCTCCATGGCAGTGACGTCAACACGTAGCCGTCTTTATAAGCAATAATAGTTAAGCCGAGTCCTAATTTGTAGGGTACTGTTATCAACACTGCGCCACTGTTCTTGGTCACCGTGGAATTTGTCTTCGTGTAGTTTACAAATACTTCTACCACTGCCTGACTCAGGTACTGACGACTGATGATGTCATTCACCTGGACTTTCAGCATAAACACGGACCCTGGAAGAGAAAGGGCGTTAGAGCTGAGAATGCATGGTATATATCTTAAGACGTCGTTCAACACATCGGAGTAACAAGAAAAAGCAGTTATTACATTTGGAAAATACACACTGGTGGATGGATAAAGAAAAAGGTAAAAACATTCCAATTTGAATACTTTTTATTAAAGCAGCACGCATGGTTACTCCATTGTTTTCTTTTCTTCCCCTCCCGCCCCGCAGGGGAGAGTGCAAACGCAGTACATGGTTTTCTGTTAAAAGGAGAGGAGTGAAAACATTCAAAGACAGGGTTTCTTTCTTCGGAAATGTACGTGTATGCACTGTCTCACTAATTCTAAGGCTATCGAGTTGCTACACTTTGGAACAAAAATGTCACCCAAAAGGCTCCTGTTCGGAGGTGGAACTCTTGGAAGGTGATTAGGGTCACTGAGGTGAGGACCTCGCTGATGGCTTAGTCTGTTGAGGACGAGCTCATAGCGGAATGTGTGGTTAAGACGCAGAACCTGGCTAGGCGGTCAAAGAAAGTGGGACACTGGAGTTAGGACCTGGAAGGATATGTTCCTGTCACCGGTCAGTCAGTCTGTCTGTCTGTGTCTGCCTGTCCGTCTGGTCTCCCCCCACCTCGGCTCTCCTGTTCTGCTGCAGGCCTCACCAGTTGAACAGCTTTCCTCTGTTATGCCCCTCTGCCATAAGATCTCCTCCTCAGAGCCAGCCAACCATGGATTGAAACTTCTTATACCGTGAGCCACAGTGAAACATTTTCTCCTTTAAATTGTGTATGTCAGGGTTATATAGATTTAATACTAATTCTAAAATAGTGCACATTCTTAGATTAAAATACCATCTAAAAGAACCCATTAATGCATGACTTGCTCTTTAATATGTGATCTGAAAAGCAAGGGGTGTTTTCAGTTCCAGACACATAAAATATCAAACAAATCTTCCTCTAAGAATATCAGAAATCATTATTCATTGACTATATCAAAAGTATAGTAACATCAACTGAAGAAAAATGAGACTCCAAGCTGGTTTCTGCTTAAACCTCTGGTCTTACTAAATTACAGATCTTGACAACATGCTCACTAGATGCACCAACGATGATATCTGGCTAAAAAAGAATTTCCACACCATGAACATCCTTTGCCAAAGACGCTTCCTCTCCCCTCTGTAAGTGGGCTCTATAACCCGTCCACGTCCGCCTTCACCATACCTTAGACTTGTGAGCTCGGGTAAGCTTCTTGCCTCTCTCCAAGTCCAAAATCTGGGACACTGAAACTATTTTAAAATAATAAAACCAAATAATGCAAACCATATGCTTGGCTGTGAATGTGATAATGAGTAATACAAGTTATCATCCACAGTTGGAGAGCACTTCACCAACCTCACAGAACCCTGACAGGAACTACGTCCTGAGGACTGGCCATGCTGCCCTACATTTGCATAAACAGAACCATTTTTACTTTACATATTTTTTAAATTGAGAATGGCATGTCAGAAAGCCCTAGGCAATGTTCACTAAGCCACAGTATTGCTAGCAGTGTTATTAAGCCTTGCCCCCTCTAACTTTGTTAAAAAAACAAAGCAAACAAACAAACAAAAAACATTCATTTGCCTTTGGATCAGACAGACATTTTAAATAAAATGATACCAATTAGTGACTTAGGAAAAGTATAGTCCACCAAGTTAAAAAATAACATAAGCGCTGATCCTTTCAAGAGCCTAAAAATGAGGTTAAATAGCATACAAAAGCTATCCTCTGTGTATTCAAACACGAACATATTTCAGTGTATGCCCACTTATATGATCATTTTAAGCCTAAGACCTAAATTGTGCAGAAGCCGTGAATGAGCCGGTGACTGTGTTCATTTTTAAGTGTATCAATCTCATGATTCATCGAACACTCTCATCAGAGATCCTAGTGCTTTCTTTCTGCCACACGCACTGTAAGAGAGTGAGCCGCGGCCTGCCCAGGGCTGATGGAGGGGACGCGATGCCCAGCAGGACCAGCCCTCTGAGCCTGCGCCCCTCCTCCTCCCTGCAGTGTGCCCCCGATTATACTCTCAAAAGAGCCCTCGTCCCAGCTTGGAGGGTACAGAGGGGAAGAACTGAGGAAGGAGAAGAGAACTGTAACCCGGAGAATCACAGATTAACATAAGGCTCGTTAGTCTACACAGAACACTGTTAATTTCCGGGACCGTTACACCACTATCACGTCACGTACACCACGGAACATCTTGGTCATGACGGCCCGCGTGAAGGCCGCAGGTCCTGCCTCTTCGTGACACCCACCCGTCACCCTGCACACAATGCAAACCTGCTGGGCAGCCAATAGCATACAGCACAGCACACACAATTACGAACGGTAATAATACTTGAGAATGACAATAAACTGTGTTTCTGGTTGGTGTGTTTATTATGTCATGCCTTTTCTCATTACCAGAGAGTGTACTTCTACTTATGCAAAACTGGCGGCTGTGAAACAGATGCCACGTTATGTGGCAGTAACGCCCCGGCGGTACACGGACACCAGACCGAGGACTGATCTCTACCCTCTAGGTTTGTCGACGTCTGCTCCGTGCGGTTCACACAACTACTAAATTGCCTAATGATGGGCTTTTCAGAACATATTCTCACTACAGATATGTTCCTTGGAGACACAAGACCATATCCAAATCAAATATAAGGAAGAGATTCCAAGACAGAATGTAGATAAGTGAAGTGTATTCATGCCTGTTTCCTCAGCATTTCTAATAGCCTGTGGGAGGTGAAATTATTTGTGAGCAGTCATCACTGTCATTACTTTCATAGATAAAGTTAGGAACATCAGGTACTAAGAATTCATTTAATCTTAAAGCTTCAGCTTCAACTGTTCCTGAACTATTGCAATATTTTTCTATCATATGATAAAATTCAGCCCATTTCTATGATCTCACTCAAAAAATAAATAAAATCATGTTTCTACCAATTTAAAACCAAACCATCTTACTGGGCTGAGAATGAATATTGTCCTAGGGCCAAGCTCTGTATCCCTATTATCACAAAAATCTCAGTATACCTTTGCAAAATGTATAGTATTAAGTCCACTTTACCAATGAAGAAATAAGGAAATTGTCCAACAATATCTTTGCATCTTATAGCAGTGAATCTTGGGCACAAACTATTAAAATTAATTCAAGATATGATGGCAGTCATCACTGGGAGCTTAAATTCATTCTTAACAGAAATTACAAACAATAAAAGCATCCCCTGGCCACACATATGCTGAGCAATGACCACAAATGGAAAATATAACTCTTGGGCAAAATAATGAAAGGTTGCGATATATATATAAAACATGACGGCCTAAGCCAAACAGAGTTGAGTGAATCCATCTAGTACACATAACTATGCTTATAAAGATCCAGTAGCTGCTGTTCAATTCAAAATAATTCCCTCAGCCTTTCAGCCCTTCATCAAAATTTATTTACTTATTGAGCCACTGGCCTAAAGGGCTCACTAATGCATGCCAGAGAGATTCGATTAGGACATCAAAATGCAAAAAAATGATACACCGAGGCCAGTAATTGCTAGGCGTTGAATTTCCTAGAAAGTCTATGAGCTCATACCCATTAGGGTTTCGGTGCTGAAACCTTCAGTGCTGGGTCCCTCTCCTCCCGGAAGCTCCAGCTGATCATCACCCTGTGAGAATATCATAACCCTGTCTGTGAAGTCTCTTTGTTTGCTGTAGCCAGAGTCAGTTTTTGTTGTTTGCCCCTCAAGAAATCACCTTAAATGATACAGAGAATAACTACAGATACAGGGTATTTTATTAATAGGCCATTCTACCCTGCATAAGAGCAAATAGAGGAACGATAATATTAAATAGGAGTCGAGAGAGAGGCTAAAAGCCAAGGGAATTAGGATTCAATGTCTAAATTCAGTAATTAGTTTATTGAAACCAAATATACCTAAAATGGCTCATTTAATAACATATTTAAAAATAAGATTCAATAGGGAATGTTTACTAATTCCTATGCTCAAAACATTAATTTTGGAAATTCTCAGAGCCCTTGCATTTAAAAATTCCAATCTGCAGTAACATCTGAAGTTCAATTCACAAAAGAACTGCAAATTCCACCTGTTTCATCCTTGTAAGAGAACCGGTGCCAAAATAAGACACAGTAACCTGATAATCTGAAGCTAGGTTTGATGCGCAAAATTTGTTTAAATGTTTCCTAATCCAGAATGTACAGTTTCATTTTTCTCTTATAATGCCGCAAATCTGGTAAGAAAATATATTGCTAGGGAAAAAAAAAGACTTATGAGGGTCCAATCTTGCTTGCCAAAACCACAGCCTTCCACTCCGATGAGACCCAGGGCACCTACCCGTATGGTCTTTCTCTTTGTGGACTTGGTACATAATGAGGCCTGAGCAGCGGCTACTCTCCAGTTTGACTTGGAAAACATCTAGCCCGCTTCTTTTTTTTTTCTTGCAATAGTCTCCTTCCCAATCCCACTTAGTAAAAGCTGACATCATAAAACATAAGCTTTATAAATGCATACATTTTTATGTGATACTCATATCAGGCCAACTGCTAGAAATTTCACCTCACTCAACCTCGCCCTAATGAATTGCAAGATATTTATCTCCCAATATGAAGACAAGGGACAGCGAGCAAATTCCTCTGACCTCACCACCTACATTCTGCTCGCCACATCATCTGTTGCTGACCTGCGTGGGAAGGAGGCTCTTGTCATATCTACTACTGTGCTTATTCTCTCCCAGCCAGTGGTGAGAGGGAAAGGCTCATTTCTTGACCCTGAGCTTCTTTCTCCCATCCTTGAACTGTTTTTTCTCACCCCACACATGCCCCAGCAAAAGTATGAGAAGATTAATAACAATAATAATAATAACAACAACCTGGCTGAGAGCTTGGTTAAAGCAGTTACAAAAGCAAGAAAAGCTCATTTCCATTCAAATAAAAATGTATGAAGAATTACCTGCTCAGACTTTAACCACAA